AAGCCCCCGGGACCCCCTGAGCCCCCAAACCCCTGAGCATCCCCTGAGCCCCCTCAGTGTCCCCTCAAACCTCCCTGACCCCTGAGCCCCCCAAACCCAGCAGGGCAGGGGTGCTGGCAGGAGCCCAAACAGGGCCACCACGGTGAGACCCCCCAAACCCCCTGGGACCCCAAAACCTCCCCTGGGACCCCCCAAACCCCCCCAAACCTCCCTGAGCCCCCAAAACATCCCTGACCCCCTGAACCCCCTGAGCTCCCCCCAGTGTCCCTGAGCCCCCCCAAACCCAGCAGGGCAGGGGGTGCTGGCAGGACCAAACAGGCCACCACGGTGAGACCCCCCAAACCTCCTGAGACCCCTCTGAGCCCCCCCAAGCCCCTGAGCGCCCCAAAACCCCCAAAACATCCCTGACCCCTGAACCCCCCCAAACCTCCCCTGAGCCCCCCCAAACCCAGCAGGGCACGGCGTGCTGGCAGGGACCCAACAGGGCCACCACGGTGAGACCCCTGGGACCCCAAACCTCCCTGGGACCCCCTGAGCCCCCCAAACCTCCCTGAGCCCCCCAAAACCCCCAAACCTCCCTGACCTCCTCCTGGAACCTCCCTGAGCCCCCAAACCCAGCAGGGCAGGGGGTGCTGGTGAGGCCCAACAGGGCCTACCACGGTGAGACCCCCTGGGACCCCAAACTCCCCTGGGACCCCCTGAGCCCCCGACCTCCCTGAACCCCTGAGCTCCTGAGCACCCCCAAACCTCCCTGAGCCTCCCAAACCCCCCTGAGCCCCCAAACCCAGCAGGGCAGGGGGTGCTGGCAGGGACCAAACAGGGCCACCACGGTGGGAGCCCCTGGGACCCCCGGACCCCTGAGCCAAACCTCCCTGAGACCCCCTCAAACCCCCAAACCTCCCTGACCCCCTGAGCCCCTCAGTGTCCCCTGAGCCCCCAAACCTCCCCAAGCCCCTGAGCCCCCCAAACTCAGCAGGGCAGGGGGTGCTGGCAGGACCAAACAGGCCACCACGGTGAGACCCCCTGGGACCCCCCCTGAGCACCCCAAACCCCTGAGACCCCCCCAAACCCCCAAACCTCCCTGGAGCTTCCTGAGCCCCCTCAACCCCCTGAACCTCCCCAAACCCAGCAGGGCAGGGGTGCTGGCAGGGCCCCAACAGGGCCACCACGGTGAGACCCCTGGGACCCCAGGACCCCCCTGAGCCCCCAAAACCTCCCTGAGCCCCCAAACCTCCCTGACCCCTGAGCCCCCTAAAACCCCAAACCCCCTGGGCCCCCCCAAACCCAGCAGGGCAGGGCGTGCTACAGGGGCCAAACAGGGCCACCACAGTGTAGAGACCTCCCCTGGGACCCCCTGGGACCCCCCTCGGACCCCCAAAACCTCCCTCTGAGACCCCCCTGAGACCACTGAGCCCCCCAAAACCCCCAAACCTCCCTGACCCCTGAACCCCCCCAAACCCAGCAGGGCACGGCGTGCCGCAGGGCCCAAACAGGGCCACCACGGTGAGACCCCAAACTCCCCCAAAACCTTCCTGAGCCCCCCCAAACCCCCCAAACCTCCCCGAGCCCCCCCAAAACATCCCTGAGCCCCTGAACCTCCCTAGAGCCCCCAGTGTCCCCTGAGCCCCCCCAAACCCAGCAGGGCAGGGTGCTGGCAGGGCTCCAACAGGACCACCATGGTGAGACCCCCTGGGACCCCCAAAACCCCTGAGAACCCCTGACCCTCCCAGCCCCAATGGGTGCCCCTGACCCCATGGGTGCCCATGACTCCGACCCTGTGGGTGCCCCCTGACCCCCTTGACCCTCCCTGACCCCAATGGGTGCCCCCCTGACCCCTGTGGGTGCCCCCCTGACCCCATGGGTGCCCCCCTGACTCCCTGACCCCATGGGTGCCCCTGACTCCCATGCGGTGCCCTCTGACCCCGTGGGTGCCCCTGACTCCCAATGGGTGCCCCCTGACCACCCTGTGGGTGCCCCCTGACTCCCATGGGTGCCCCCCTGACTCCCGTGGGTGCCCCAGGTCCGTCTGTCGTGCGGGACGGAGACGGCGCTGTCGGCGGCGGCCGAGCCGAGCCGGTGCGAGTACCTCCTGGAGCTCGAGACCCCCGCGGCCTGCAGGGAGCCCCCCCGGGACCCCCACGAGGACCACGACGAGCTCTGACCACAAAAACACCCCTGAAAAAATATCCTAAAAAAACAACCCAAAAACCCCCAAAAAACTCCCCAAAAAACCCAAAAAACTCCCCCCAAAAACCCCCCAAAAAACCATCGGGAAATGCCCCCAAACAACCCCCCCAGAGCCTGCAGGGAGCCCCCGGGACTTCTAACGAGGAGCACGACGAGCTCTGAGCCCAAAACACCCCTCGGACCCTGAAATATTCCTAAAAAAACCCCAAAAACCTCCGAAAATGCCCCCAAAACAATCCCTCAGGGCACTGCCAGGGCCTCCAGGACTCCCACGAGGACCCCCGACGAGAGCTCTGACCCCAAAAACACCCTGGAAAAATACCCCACAAAACCAAACCCTCCAAAAACTCCCCCAAAAACCCCAAAACCAGCCGGGAGATGCCCCCAAACGGCCTCCCAGAGCCTGCAGGAGCTCCCCAAATGGAGGCCCCTGGGACGACCACAGGGCAGAGCTCTGAGCCCCCAGAACACCCCTGAAAAATACCCCTGAAAAATACCCCAAAAAAACTCCCAGGAAACTCTTCCAAAAATACCCTGCTCAAAAATACCATGGGAAATGCCCCCAGACACTAATTACCCCAAGAGCCCTGCATGGGACTTCCCCTAGGACCCCAAACATACGGACCACAGAACACCCTGGGACCCCAAAAAAACACCCCTGGGACCCCAAAAAAATACTCCAAGACCCCCAAAAACACCCCAGGACCCCAAAAATACTCCTGAGACTCCCACAATACCTCTTGGGACCCCCAAAATAGCCCTGGAACCCAGAAAACACCTCAGGGACTCCCAAAAATAGACCCCAAGACTCCCAGTAAACAGCTCTTGGGACCCCCAAAAATAGCCCTGGAACCCCAAAAATACCCCAAGACTCCCCAAAATACCTCTGGGACCCCCAAAACACTCCTGGGACCCCCAAAACCCCCTCCGGCCCCAAAAAAACCCCAAATCCCCTAATCCGAAGGTGGGGTCCCACCTCATTTTCCTCCCCCAGAACCTCAAGGACCCATCCCAGGATCCCAAATTTGGGAATTCCGGGGGGGAATCATCCCAATTTATTTGGGGAGGAGGATCCCAATTTGGGAAATCCAATTGGAGGGGATCCCAATTTGGGGAGGGGGAATCCAATTTGAGGAGTGGGGAGGGTCTCACCTATTTTCCTCCCCAAATTCTCCTCCCCAGGACTTTGAGGGCTCATCCCAAGATCCCGAATTTGGGAATTCTGAGGGGGGAGGAACAGGAGGGTCAGACCCCTCCCCCCAAAAAACCACAACTGATGGACAGAATTAAAAATAAAAATAAACTTTATTGGGGGCATTCCCAGAATTCTTGGAATTCCTGGAATTCCTGGAACTCAGCGCTCAGCCCGGAGCGGGTCGGAATTCCGGGATTCCCACGGGATCTGCTCCCAGCCCCAGGGTTGGGGGGGGGGTTTGGGGTTCTTTGGAATTCTGGGAATTCCCAGAGCAGGTTGGAATTCCAAGATTCCCGGGATTCCCTTGGGATTGGGGGGATCCCCCCTGGGCCGGGGGGAGCTCATCCCAAAGCTCGGGGGGTCTTGGGGTTGTTTGGAATTCCGGGAATTCCCGGAGGAGTCTCAGAGCTGTCCCAGGGCAGGTCAGAACTCCGGGATTCCTGGGAGCAGGTCGGAATTCCGGGATTCCCTTGGGATTGGGGTTCCCTCAGGAGAGAACTCATCCCAGAGCTTGGTGGTCTTGGTGTCGTTGGGAATTCCAGGAATTCCGGGAGGACTCTCAGAGCTCCTCGTGGGTGGGGCTATCCCAGAACAGGTTGGAATTCCAGGATTCCTGGGATTCCCATGGGATTGGGACTCATCCCAGAACTTGGGGGAGTCTTGGTGTTGTTTGGAATTCCCAGAATTCCAGGAGGACTCTCAGAGCTCATCCCAGGCAAGGCTGTCCAGGAATTGCAGGTTGGAATTCCGGGATTCCCAGGGATTCCCTTGGGATTGGGGCTCATCCCAGAGCTCGGGGGTCTTGGTGTTGGGAATTCCAGGAGGACTCTCAGAGCTCCTCGTGGGTGGGGCTGTCCGGGAATTGCAGGTTGGAATTCCGGGATTCCTGGGATTCCCATGGGATTGGGGCTCCCCCCTGGGCCATGGGAGCTCATCCCAGAGCTCAGGGGTCTTGGTGTCGCTTGGAATTCCCGGAATTCCGGAAGGACTCTCAGAGCTCCTCATGGGTGGAGCTGTCCGGGAACTGCAGGTTGGAATTCCGGGATTCCTGGGAGCAGGTCGGAATTCCGGGATTCCTGTGGGATCAGGGACCCCCCCCAGGCCAGAGGAGCTCATCCCAGAGCTCGGGGAAGTCTCGGTGTAGTTTGGAATTCCAGGAATTCCGGGAGGACTCTCAGAGCTCCTCGTGGGTGGGGCTGTCCCAGAGCAGGTCAGAACTCCGGGATTCCCGGGAGCAGGTCAGAATTCCGGGATTCCTGTGGGATCAGGGACCCCCCCCAGGCCAGGGGAGCTCATCCCAGAGCTCAGGGAAGTCTCGGTGTCACTTGGAATTCCTGGAATTCCGGGAGGACCCTCAGAGCTCCTCATGGGTGGAGCTGTCCGGGAACTGCAGGTCGGAATTCCGGGATTCCCGGGATTCCCATGGGATTGGGGGCTCCCTCAGGCCATGGGAGCTCATCCCAGAGCTCGGGGATGTCTCGGTGTCGCTTGGAATTCCCGGAATTCCAGGAGGACTCTCAGAGCTCCTCGTGGGTGGGGTTGTCCCAGAGCAGGTCAGAACTCCGGGATTCCCGGGAGCAGGTTGGAATTCCGGGATTCCTGTGGGATCAGGGACCCCCCCCAGGTCAGAGGAGCTCATCCCAGAGCTCGGGGATGTCTCGGTGTCGCTTGGAATTCCAGGATTTCCGGGAGGACTCTCAGAGCTCCTCGTGGGCGGGGCTGTCCGGGAAGTGCAGGTCGGAATTCCGGGATTCCTGGGAGCAGGTCGGAATTCCGAGATTCCCGGGATTCCCTTGGGATTGAGGCCTCCCCCCCCCCAGGTCAGAGGAGCTCATCCCAAAGCTTGGGGGTCTTGGTGTTGCTCGGAATTCCCGGAATTCCGGGAGGACCCTCAGAGCTCCTCGTGGGCGGGGCTGTCCGGGAAGTGCAGGTCGGAATTCCGGGATTCCCGGGATTCCCAGAGCAGGGGGGTCTGGGGGCTCTCGGTGTCGCTGACGTAGCCGGCGTCCCCCGTGTAGTGGGTCGGGAAGAGCAGCAGCGGCTCCGCCGAAAACGCCACCAGATCCCGGCGGGAAAAGTGCCGGGAATAGTCGGGACTGGGGGGGGAAAGGGAGGGGGGAGAAGTGAGGGGAAAGTCCAGGTCCCAAATCCCAATCCCATATCCATATCCCTATCCCATATCCATGTCCCATACCCATATCTATGTCCCATGTCCCATATCCATATCCCATATCCCAATCCCATCTCCATATCCCATCTCCATATCCCATATCCCATATCCTATTCATATCCCTATATCTCTATATCCCAAATCCCATATCCCATATCTCTATATCTCCTATATCCCATATCCATATCTCATATCTCCAATCTCTATATCCCATCTCCCATATCCCAATCCCATATCCCATCTCCCATATCCCATATCCCAATCCCAATCCCTATATCTCTATATCCCATATCCCTATATCCCATATCCCATATCCCATATCCCATATCCCATATCCTAATCCCTAATCCCAATCCTAATCCCAATCCCTACTATCAGGGGATGCCGGTCCGAACTATGACGGGCAGGATATTCTGTCTCACTGGATCTATCAATCCCATATCCTAATCCCATATCCCAAATCTCCTATCCTATATCCCTATATCCTATATCCTATATCCTATATCCCAATCCCATACATCCTATACTCCTATATCCCTATATCCCATACTCTCATATCCTCAATCCTATATCCCAATCCCATATCCCATATCCTAATCCCATATCTCCATATCTCATATCCCTATATCCCATATCAATAATCCCATATCCCATCTCCCAATCCCTACTCACAGGGGTGCCGGTCGAACATGACGCAGGATCGCACTGCCATCGATCATCTCCCATATCCCATATCCCATATCCCATATCCCATATCCCAATCCCATATCCCAATCCCATATCCCATATCCCATATCCCAATCCCATATCCCATATCCCAATCCCAATCCCCACTCACAGGGGGTGCCGGTCGAACATGACTGGCAGGAATTCGTCCACCGGGATCATCTCCCATATCCCATACCCTATATCCCATATCCTATATCCTATCTCTATATCTCATATCCTATCCTATATCCCATATCCCATATCCCAATCCCAATCCCAACTCCCATCTCCCAATCCCAATCCCATCCCCACTCACAGGGGGTGCCGGTCGAACATGACTGGCAGGAATTCGTCCACTGGGATCATCTCCCATATCCCATATCCCAATCCCAATCCCAATCCCATATCCCATATCCCATACCCCATCCCCGCTCACAGCGGGTGCCGGTCGAACATGACGGGCAGGAATTCGTCCACCGGGATCATCTTTCCCAGCGGCTCCGCCCGGAGCAGCTTCCCGGCCCCGCTCAGGGAGAGGGCGTATCCCAAAGTCCAGTAGGAATATCCCGCCTCCACCAGGTGCCGCACCCCGGGAACGGGGCGCTCCAAACGCTCCGGGTGCAGCCGCTTCCGACCCAGGTAACTGCGGGATCAATGGGATCAATGGGATCAATGGGATCAATGGGATCAATGGGATGGGATCAATGGGATCAATGGGATCAATGGGATCAATGGGATCAATGGGATCAATGGGATGGGAACGGGACGCTCCAAACGCTCCGGGTGCAGCCGCTTCCGGCCCAGGTAACTGCGGGATCAATGGGATCAATGGGATCAATGGGATCAATGGGATCAATGGGATTGGGATCAATGGGATTGGGATCAATGGGATGGGATCAATGGGATTGGGATCAATGGGATTGGGATCAATGGGATGGGAACGGGGCGCTCCAAACGCCTCCGGGTGCAGCCGCTTCCGGCCCAGGTAACTGCGGGAATGGGATCAATGGGATCAATGGGATGGGATCAATGGGATCAATGGGATCAATGGGATCAATGGGATCAATGGGATGGGAACGGGGCGCTCCAAACGCTCCGGGTGCAGCCGCTTCCGACCCAGGTAACTGTGGGATCAATGGGATCAATGGGATCAATGGGATTGGGATCAATGGGATTGGGA